AAATAGTATATTACGTTTAACTTACTTAATAATTATATTAAATACTTCAACAGAAATATGAGGTAATTTAATTTCGACAATATTATTTTTTTTAATTACATTTACAAATTTTTGACGAAAGTATAAAGATCGTTGGTACAAGATTGCTGAATGTGCTTTGAAAAACTGAATATTTGGTTGCTCTCCAACTTCAATGACTACATTATAATCATATTCGTTTTCTAGAAGTTGTGTAAAGTCTTCTGAAAGCTGTTCGAATAATTTTAATGTCATTTCAAATATATGATTACGACGAATTCGTATCGGCGTGCATATACACAACACATTTATATTTATATGCGTGTGCTACATAAAAAAGGTCAAATCTTGAATTGAACCCTCAAATAATAATTTCTATTTTGTTTTAGCTAGCTTTGGTGCTACCTTAAGGCATTCAATTTTCCAAAATGATCCTCAAATTCGTGCTATCTTTTTTGGTTTTCGATTTGAATTTCAAATATTTCAAATATAAATAACGAATACAAGAAAGTAAAATTACAGTCGTATGCTATCTTTTTTGGTTTTCGATTTGAATTTTAAATATAAATAACAAATATAAGAAAGTGCAATTCCAGTCGGTAAACAATTTCAACAAACATATCGATATATTTTATTTATAAATAATTATAACCACAATAAATTTAGGAAAGCTAAGCATTATCTTTCAGAAACTTTGTTTCTTAATGCACAATAATTACATAGTAATTGTATAAGTAACTATAATTTACTATCAAATTTATATCAACCATATAGATACCGCAATTCTTCAATGTGTGCTAGGATCAGGCGTAACATAAGATGATAAAAAAGGACCGTTTTGTCAAAAGTCACTTACTTCTAAAATATCAACACAAGAGATCACCTTTAATGCTCTAATAAAAAGCTTCCACTGGGCAATTTTACTCGTAGTTACGATTTAGTTATTGAGCATTAAGATATTCAGATTACTGTATAGATTTTGTTGGTATCTGAAGTTGCGATTTACCGGAACTGCCACTTTAGATATTCAAAGCAACACCTGACTAAAATTAGGATATCTAAAGTGGCAATTTCAGATATGATAAATATATGAAAAAAAGGAATTTTGAATAGGAAAAATTTAAATAACTTATCGATGCATTTTAACATCTTATTTGACTGTAATTGCGTTTGAATTAAAATTCTCCAAGAAATAATTTTTGTTAAACTGCAAAAGTTCCGAAATTTCAACTTCTAGACTGTCTTACGTGTACAAAAATTAGAATCATGTCACCAAAGTGACAAGTGACCATTATGTGAGATCAGATGAATTTTGTGTTTGCATATGATTGTTAGAATATGTATTACTATCATTAGAGAACGGGTGGGAGAAGCAAGTGTAGTCGTATTGTCCCCGAACATGTAATCAACAACGTAAGAAATATGGGATTATCCTATTGCCAGAGCAAGGTATTTAAGGGTGTTTTGGTAATAGATGAGGTTATTTTTCTTTTCGATATCGTCTCTCAATAATTTATAGGGTATTACCTGATACTTGTTTAGTAAGTTTTAAAGGTATTGGTTAATGATAATAGGCTCCATGGCTGCTATAGGTAATAGAAAATCCTAGTCATTAGGCTCCATAGCTTATGTAGGCAGTGCAAAGACCTACAGATAAATAACTCTACGCGAAGCTATATAGTCATATCTATGAGATTCCTTATTGGCTGTGTTTTCTATATGAGTATAAATGGTTTTGGACTGTGTCACCATCGGTTTCGGGAGAGCATCATTTGTAGACTTCAATGGTGAACTGGAATGCGTTGGGTTCTGAGTCATGGTCACACTTTTATGGTAGGTAATTGAGTTCGTGATTAAACCTAAGATTCTGGCAGAAATTACATATTAATTAGAATGGGTATTTCGACAGGTAATTTATTAAGAGAAACGATTTATGAGAATTCTCTTTATTGAGAGAAGAGTTCAAAGGACATACAATTTTTACTTCTCATGTCAAGGGACTAGTTTTTTATATAACTGTACAGGCAACACTAAAGAAACATCGTATGATTTAAGTGATGTTCCTCCCTCTGCCGCCTGAATGTTAACCTGACAGGAATACCACTCAGCAACGTCACCAACTACTAAATGACCAAATATAGCAATACCAGGAACGGAGTTTGTACAACGTAGTGTATGGTTTACAGGCATTTCAAATGTGTCTGTGCGATTCTCAGCATATGATTGGGTAATCTGTCATCGTGACTTTGTATAGCACCACGAACAATACTTTAAAAGGTACAAATGCCTCTGTACGCAAAATCTTGGAATTGATTGGTTAAAAAAATATAAATGAGCGCATACATCTGTAAAATCGAAGATGCTATAACAAACGATAGTAAAAATAAGTTTTTT